AGGGCTGTCGGGCAAGTGCCCAGCCCTGAGTGGCGTGAGGTTCCGCTAGAGAGGAAGCGGCTGTCTCTTCCCCACCATCCTCAGCTGGAGAGGCCAGTGGAGGTCCTGTCCCTGGATCTAGTTTCCATTTGCCACCACGGACAGCCCTTTTCACCTACCTCAAAGGGGCTGGAGAGATGTTAGAACATGGCTCTGCCTCCGCTATGAATCAGCTAATCAAGCAGCATTTACATTTAAACAGGTGAAACGTGACTGGCAAGTTGCTTATGTGGAAAAACTAGCTGGTTTGGTGGAAGAGCTGGAGGCAGATGCGGTGCTTTAACCCTACTGAGCAGCTGCTGGGTTCACACCCTCTTCTGGTTGGCCTTACCTGGATGGCACCTCTGGGGCACAGCAAGTGCAGGGCCAGGGAGGGACTTTTACTGCTTACAAAGCCATCCTGGGATTCACAGCTCCACCCTTGAATTAATTCACATCATACTTGGTTTCTCTGTATCTGTCCACAAGCAATAAATATTTATTTTTAAGATTTATCTATTTATGCATACAAGAGCTATGGTACAGGCCAGAGGTGTGGGGCTGGGAGTGAGAAGATTCACCAGAGGCAGAGGGGGAAACAGAACAGGCAGACTGACTGAAATATACTGGTGAGGGGAGCAGCGTGCGAGACAGAAGAGGTCTGCTGCGCCACGTGGGTAGCTCCCTGGCCCGGGATTGAACTTGTGCTGCGGTGGCTGTGGATAGCTTCATAGCTTTATAGTGCTGCATCTTAACCCCTTGTGCCACCAGGGAGGCCCCCACCAGCAACAAATACTTAAATGTGTACTCTCACAAGAAAAAAATATGATTTATTTTTAAAAATACTGAAAATCAGATTAGGACAATCGACTTTAGAGAACCAGGAGTTTTGGGCTAAGATATATAAAACTTCACATGCCAGGTAAGCACATGCCAGAACTGACCAATTAAAAGGCGTCTCTCCTGTCCCTCATGCAGTGCCTGGAGTCCTTACCAATCAAGACCAAGCTCAGTGTCTCTGCCCTAAAACGGTTCTTTGACAGATGGATGTGATTTCAACTCAGGACCTGTCCAAATGAAGAATTCTTTAATGTTTGGGGGCGGGAAGGAGCTTTCTATTTTTAGACATCTAATTCTATAGATGATAGCTTTTCCTGACCTCTTCTAGACATGTCAGATACTAGAAAAAGGAATTGCTTTTTGAACGTTGAAGCACTTGTGAAAATAAAGCAGCAGGCAAAAATTCTTTTAAACACAGAAATCCTGAGTTCATCTCTTTGATGGACTCGAACCATTCCATAGCAGATAAATCCTTTGAAAGAACAAAAGAAAAAAAGAAAGAAGAAGGGAGGAAGGAAGAGAGGAAAGAAGGAAAGGATTGCTGTTATAATAAGCATAACCCACAATCTACCAACTTATAAAATTAGCATATAAAGTGTAATCATATAAAGTGATGACTTTTCCACCATCGAACATCTAGTGACACTTCTGCAGAGATGAAGATCATTAACAGTTTGTGATGTTCTTCCTGAGGTTGGGAAAGCTCACATGAGATATATTGAAATTATCAGGGTACAAAATTGTATGTGCTCCAAATATATGACAATGGATAAGGTTTTATGTGTATATTTATAGGCAGAAGGGGAAAAATGAATGAGTTAAATATCTGCAACTGTGATTATGTTGATTTCTAAACTTTCTTCAATTGTAATGACTCCATGAAAGGGAATACTGCACAATAAAACAATTGTCTCTGTTAGGGCTTTGGCCTAACAGAGTAACATAAGAATTAAAGCAACATTATTCAATTAAAACAAACCTAAACCACCAAGGACAGATTTAAAACTGTTTGGTAAGCACTATACCAGGTTCTATGAACTATTGATACATCAGAATTGGCTACAAATTCTGAACTGATTTTAGCATATGGACTAGTGGACTGACAACTTCTAGGACTGTTTTCCATCCAGAAGCTGCCAGCTCACCCAAGATCCAGCAGAACAAGTATTACTTGGAGCTAAATGAATGGTTGTAGGAAAGCTCAGGGTTATTTGTGGGGAATATACTTGGTATTATTTTTATTGTTCTATTTTTACGAGGAGGTTTTCTGTCTTCTTGAGCAATCCCTAGCCTTCAGTTTAGTAGATTATGCCTTTTAAACTGAAAATAAACATTTTTTTCCTCTTCTCTTCTTTTTCCTTCAAATTAAACATTTTAAATGGCATCTGAATCGCACTGGTCCTTTCCTGATTTGGAAACCTATACTTTGACTAAATCTCCTGACTTTCCATGGCAATATAGTAATTGACACATGTTCAATAAGAATCTGCCCGTTTTTTTCCTGGGATATAGTTGGATAAGTCAATTGTATAACTGGAATATCTCATGAGAGAACTATTACCATTTAACCAGGCATGACGAGTCTGCTAAGGCACCCCCATGGAGTCAATGCCTGCAAAGCCCACCCAGGAAGATGGCCTGGAAGCAGGGATAGGAAGGTCAACTCTGGGCAGGAAGGGGCCTTAGAAATGTTGGGAACCTCAAGGAGAGGGTGTCACTCATATTTCTAGGTGCTGCAGGGGAAAGCTGGTAGAGAGACTTGGGCTTGGTTTCCTTGCCTCACATTAGAAGAATAGCCAACCCCTCCCAGTTTGCCCAGGACTTCCCCCAACAGTGAGAACCCCATATCCCTCCAGTTTCAGGCAAACTGGCACAGATGGTCACTCTACGTAGAAGAGCAAATAATAGAGGTTTTAAGGAACCAAGCTAAGATTCTATGTGAAAACTTGGGGACAGAAGTGAAAATGGCTCACTATTTCAAAGATCTAAGTTGCAGAACAATTTATCATTTCATTTATACCCTTGGAAATAATCAAGCCAAATCTAATGAAACCCGTCTTTTTTTTTTTTTTTTAAAAAGATTTATTTATTTATTTATTTATGCAAGCACTGGGTACAGTCAGAAGCGCGGGAGGGTGAGAGAATTCACCAGAGCCAGAGCGGGGAGCAGAGCAGGCAGAAGGACCAACGTACACTGCTGAGGGGAGCAGCGGGTGGCAGGAGAGGTCTGCGCACCATGTGGGATCCTCCTCCAGTGGCCGGGGAGCAGCTGGGGGTCGAACCGGTGCTGCAGAGGCTGCGGGCAGCTTCCCAACCCAGCGCTCAACCGCTGCGCCACCGGGGAGGCCCGAAACCCGTCTTTTTTTAATGAATTATTTTATTTTATATAATGCTTACATCATTTTTCATTTTTGCATAATGTATGCATTTTCATTTTGGTTATCGTCCCCATACAATTCCCACCCCCTTTTTCTGACCCTAATCCCTCTTCTCCTCTCCTCGCCCCCCCACTGTAGTGTGTCTCTGGTCTATAGTTGCTTGTTTGTTGATTTTGATTTTCACTTTGTATTAATTAGTCTTTTTCCTGGTCCCTTATTTAGGTTTTCTAAATTCCTGCTATGAGTGAGACAAGTTTCAGGTAATTTTCTTGTGATCATAAATAACTTCCAGCTTCATTCTTCCTATAAAAAAGACGGGACGGGTTTCTTTTTTATAGGAAGAATGAGCTGGAAGTTATTTATGATCACAAGAAAATTACCTGAAACTTGGAAATAAGGTAAAAAGGCAGACAGCCTTTTCAACATTAGACAGGGGTAAAGACAGGTAAAAAGGTAAAAAGGCAGACAGCCTTTTCAACATTAGATAGGGGTAAAGACCTGAGCTTTGTCTGGGCGAGAGGAATGCCCTCAGTTCCTCTCAGTGTTTACCTTTAGTTAAAAGTTCCAGACTTACTCGAGTTACTTGTTAACTTGTAGATGTTTATGCAGGAGAGATGAAATAATTTTTGTCTCGTAGAACACTTAACCCCAGAGATTTATGACCTGTTGGATATTAGCTTTTTTTAAAAAAAAAAAAAGGAACTCAGGGCCTCCCGGGTGGCGCAGAGGGTTGAGTGCAGCACTGTGAGGCTGTCCATGGCCTCTGCAGCACCGGTTTGAATCCTGGCCGGCCAGGGAGATTCCCACATGGCGAGGCCGACCTCTCTTGTCTCACCCGCTGCTCCCCTCAGCAGTGCTTTCGGTCTGTCTGCCTGTTCTGCTCCCTGCTCTGTCCCTGGTGAATTCTCTCACCCTCCCGCGCCTCTGGCCTGTATCCCAGTGCTTGTATAAATAAATAATTTTTTTTTTTAAAATGGAATTCAGCAATCTTATCCTAACACTCTTCTATCAAATGACCAATAAATATCCCAGTTTCTCAAATGCTCTATGAACTGGTCATAACATCTTACTGGTTCTCTCAGTGATTAATAACAATAATTAATTAGATAAGACCTTCGATAGGTGTTCATATTATATTTACTAGCAAGTTTTGTGGGGTTTTTGTTGTTATTGTTGTTGTTGTTAACTGAAATGATACTTTAGCATCAGCCAACTGTAAGGGTGGCATATAGGAAAGGTCAGTTTTGATGGGGGAAGGACGTAGTTGGGAGCGTGAAGCAGTATCAGAAGGAGAGAGCAGACCCAGTGAAACTCTGGCAGCAAACATAGGCCCTTTTGCAAAGGAAAATCAGTCTATATTGGTCTAGGTCACAGCCTATGATTTCTTATTGGGACGCACCATGGCAGATCTTATGTTTCACTGAAATTTAAAATCTTGACATAGTTTAATGTTCAGGCCTCTGACTATACCCTACGATAAGTCTTGCTGCTCAAAGGCCTAAAATTATACCATTTTTACTACCATTTTTACTTATTTGGCTTAAAGCCCTTTGTTAAAATGCACATGTTTCTAGAAGAGGGTAATGCATAAAGGCTAACCCTTTACATTTTAGTATAAACAAAAGTCCTAGCTTTTTCAGAGATCAAATTTTAGATAAAAGGAAAGAGCAGCAAATCCAGCATTCCTGAGATGGTAAGTCTCAGGAAAGTCTCAGGTAAGTCTCAGAAAGCGACTCAGGAGATGGAATGGGGCCTAGGACTCACCGCCAGGTCATTGCGGGTGATGAAGCCCCTCTCCATGGCACCACAGTCCTGGAAGAAGCCCTGCAGTTCTGCAGCTGTCTGAGAAGACCAGGAGTCTGGCTCTGGGACCACAGGCGCATCCTCGCCATCGGCTGGCTCCCGAGTCTGTCGCCGGCGGCTGGAGCCCAACTTTCGGCCTTTGCGGGACACTCTCTGTCCACTCTCCATGCTGCTTTGGCCTGGGACAGAGGAGAGGTGAGGGGTGAATACCTCAAAATTCAAAACTGTCTCCTAGCTCCCCATCGCTCCAGGAAAAAATCCACTGTGGTGATGAAGCCCTGCCTGCTGGAACATGCTGGCCTCTCCAGCCTCACTGCCCACCCCACCTCAGGAGGCCCCAGCACATCCTGCTCAGGGCCTTCACCCCTTCTATTCCCTGTGCCTACAATGTTCTTCCCAAGCTATCCACGTGCCCTCCTCACTTTCAGCTCTCTGTTCTCCTGGCCATTATATGAAAGAACCCCCTGCAGAGGACCTCCCTTGTGGCACAAGGGGTTAAGATGCAACCTATGAAGCTGTCCGTAGCCTCTGAAGCACAAGTTTGATCCCTGGCCAGGGACGTGACCCACATGGCACAGCAGACCTCTCCTGACTCACCCGTTGCTCCCCTCAGCAGTGTATTTTAGCCAATCTGCCTGTTCTGCTCCCCACTCTGTCTCTGGTGAATGCTCTCACCCCACACACCTCTGGCCTACACCCTAGTTCTTGTATGCATAAATAAATAAATCTTTAAAAAAAAAAAAAAAAAGAACCCCCTGCAGGATAGTTTCCATTTTTTGACCTGGGTGTGGTTATTTAGGATTTTCCAGACCTCACTGTTTGAAGCAGTGCTTGCTGAACTGCTCTTCTTGCTGCCCCTCTAGCTCATTTCCCCACATCCTGGTGGCATCCAAGTGATGGATTCTCACCTTTCTGGTAGACATGGAGCCAGGGCCCATCGTTTGGCGAGTGGGATATAGACTGGATTCTAGTCCCAGCTTGTCCCCCTGCCAGGCTTCCAAGTGGACAGGACCTGCATGGCCCACGGGAGCCCCTTGTCAGCACTTGAGGGAGAGATTGTACTTCACCTACATTTCCTGCCCGGCCTTGCTCTGGCATGTGTTGGGCCCGCAACTGTTTCCTGCCTCCTCAACTGACTCACACTGTCCCCTAAAATGTGGGATATTCTACTAGACAAGCTGACCACATCTTCAAACAATGTTGATGTCATAAAAGAAAAAATAAAGCAGGGGGATTGTGCTCTGTTCAAGATTGAAGAGAAAGGATACCTAAATATAAATGATCCTTAGCTGTATATGCTTTCAGAAGAATAAAAAAAGTAGGAATAAGGGACATTTTTGGAACAAGTAGGGAAATGTGCATATGGACTCTATACACATCTTAGGTGTGATGAAGGTATGGTTAGGGTCCCAAATAAGTGCATAAGCAAACAAACAAAAAATGTGTGTGTGTGTGTGTGTGTGTATGTGTAAATGGGGTGAAATGTAGAGTGGGGAATTCCTTCCCCTGGTATCTCCCATTCCCCTATCAGCCCATCTAAGCAAGGAAACAATAACAAGGCACACACCCTCCCTTGGGTCACATCTGTCCACCTGAAACCACTAGCCACTGCCACTCACCATCCCCCGAAGAAGGGAGCCCTCTCCCTCCATGACCCTGTGGCCCCAGGGGCCCTCTGGCTGGGGCCTGACAGGTTATAATGCACAAAAGACCATGGTGGTGATGCTGTGGATGAGGGAGAAATTCCATAAAAGCAGGGAACTGGACAGATACCAGGTATCCCTACTTGACAGATGAGGACGGTGAGGGAGGGAGGCTCCTGAATACAGAGCCAGATTAGGGTGTGCTGTACACCTGTGAGGAGCGGCTACACCGTCCCTGGCTGGCAATGATGGGCATTCTGCCCCCGGCCTCCTGACAGGCAAGAATGATCCTCCAGGGACAGCAGAATTGACTGGCTCCGAGAAAAGATGCTTTGGCCTGGGGCAGGATGGACACTGGGTGAGGTGAGCACAAGGGGCTGCTTTCCTACAAAATGTCAGGGACCTGCTGGAAATGAGCTGTGGAGGTGCAGCTTGGCCAGGAACTCTCTGAAAGTGAGTTCCTGCTTCGTCATGGGAGGAACTCCCCCAAAACCACTTCCTGGGGAAACACTTCCCCAGTGGGCCAAGTGCCCCTTGGTGGGTCACAGGCGCCTGAAGGAGCAGCCATGGGTGGGACAAGGGCAGAGGGACAGTGCAGACCGGGCAGGCTTTGCTCAGGTTGTGATACTTGGAAATTCAATTTTCATGTGCACTTCCGGCCATAGAGATAACACACATGACGACGAGATAAGATTCCCAGCACGGAAGCTTCTAGCACCGGAGGCACTACGGGAAGAGTCTGCTATCATGTGGGTGTGCCATCATTAAGTCCGCCAGGCGCCCACAAGTCAAGGAAGTAGGAATCCTGAAATAAAGTCCTTTGACCACTCCCAAGGCATCAGGCGCTCTTGACCTCACTTTCTGGGAGTTCCTAGTCCAGCTGCACCCCCACAGCACATTTCCAGCAGGTCCCTGACATTTTGTATGAAAGCAGCCCTCTCCTCTCACCTCACCCAGTGCCACCCTGCCCCAGGCCTCAGCATCTGCCCTCAGAGCCAGTGGATTCTGCTGTCCCTTGAGGACTATCCTTTTCTGTCAGGAGGTCGGGGTAAATGCCTATCACTGTCAGCCAGGGACAGGGTAGCCCCTCCTCACAGCCGTGCAGCACACCCTAAAACAGTCTGTGTCCCCTTCATGGCCAGGCTAGGGGACACCCTTCAGCCAGTGCTCACATGTGTAGGTAAGCAGACACGCACATGTGCACACCCACTCCCTCTGCAGTCAGCCATCACCCTCACCCCCGACTCCCTCGCAGTCCGTTCCCTCACAGACTCACGCGACACCCCTCATAGCCATCTGGCATTTGTGAAGTTCCCCCTTGTAGTCACTGCCCACTTAGAACAACACCCCTTAGAGTGGAAGCAGAACCTCTGTCTTCTGCCATGTTCCCCTGAGTGGATAGCGTCTCCTCCGCCATGTTCCTCCCAGTGGATAGTGGCCACCTCATACCCTATACAGTAGGAAACCCCCTCATGACTGGGAGCACACATATGCACACCCTTCATCCCCACCGCCCCTCCTCACCTTCCTCACCCAAGAGCCATAGAAAGTTTGAGGCCAAACTTGAGAGCAAATGAATCCCACTCCCAGGCACTGACAGGAATCAGCTCCCCACTGTGGGACTCGGGTAGGGGAGCAGGCACCGCAGGCCTTCCGTCAGGAATAGCCGGATAAGAAAAATGGGCTACGGCACAGTGGCAGAATGACAGTATGACATCTACAGTTACCTGGGGTCTCCCCCATTCCATCATTCTGTCACCAAAGGGGCAAGGAACTGGGCCTACTCTTCACTTCACCTCAAATAATAGTGATAGTCACAGAACCCAAATTGTCCCAGTTAGTAGAAATCACTAGTGCCTTGTTCTACTCTACTTTCCCTCTCTCTTACCCTCACTAGCTTGATAGAGAAGCTGTGGCTCTGACAGGCCAGATAAAGACCATCTATGGGCCAGGTAATAGATCCCATTCTCCCACCCAAGTGCCCTCCATTGCCACCATTAAACTTTGTGGAAAGATCCAAATCCATGAGAAAGGAGGACTCTGCCCTTTGCTCCATTTTCTTAGGGGTTAGATGGATCATCTGCCCCTTCCCCCTTGTCACCCCTCCAAAGAAAAAAGGCACTGCAACTAAGGGTGGCTCCCACCTCTCAAAGGCTCCCAGTCCTACACGTAGCTCCGCACCTCCTGGACCTGGTGATCAGACACCACTGCCTGGAGTAGCTAGTGAGCTCTGGAACTGTTAACAGTCTTGTCTCTTGCTTAATCACTCTTTCCGTTCCCCAGCGGCTCAATCTCCTTTGTTAATCTATGGGACTTCCTGTAGAAGTGATAACTGGGTATCCTTTCACAATCTCGCCTGGTCCTCCTGAGGCTCCCTACCCTAGGACCCCTGGAACTGGAGAATGCTTCCTTCCAAGCAGAGGCTCTGAAGGGTGAAGAGGACTGCTCAAGGTCACCTAGTCCTTAGTGGGAAAACCAGGGCTTGGACATAAATCTTTGGTTGCCAGGGTGATGCCATGCCTGATCACAGCCAAAGTATTGATGGACATAGTCAAGGCTAAAGGGGTGTGTGTGTGTGTCAACTGTCCTGGGGTGATTTCACACTGTGTCTGCACACACCTGACCTCAGGTGTTCACTCTCAGCATCCTGGATTATCAAGGAAGAATTACATTCAATTACATTCAATTACATTCATCTTTCAGCAAATAGTCTAACCTAATACCAAAGCATATTGTAAAGCTACAACCTCCAGAACAGTGTGGTACTGGAGAATAAATAAGAATCAGTGAATTGGGCCTCCCTGGTGGCGAGAGGGGTTAAGTCTCAGCACTCTGAAGCTTTCAGCAGCCACTGCAGCACAAGTCTGATCCCTGGCCAGGGAACTAGCACACATGGTGCAGCAGACCTCTCCTGTCTCGCCCGCTGCTCTCTTCAGCAGTGCATTTCAGTCAATCTGCCTGTTCTGCTCCCCACTCTGTCTCTGGCAAATACTCTCACCACCAGCCCCCACACCTCTGGCCTGTACCCCAGTTCTTGTATGCATAAATAAATAAATCTTTGAAAAAAGGAATAGGTGAAATAAGGGAAAAGAAAAGAATAAGTATGGACAGGAGTTGATGTAAATACAAATGGGATAAAATTGTATAATAAAGTTGGCATTTCAAATTAGTGGAGGTAAGGTGGTTTATTCAATACACTATTGGGAGAATGTGCTAGGTGTCTGCAAAAAATCAAAATTGGGGGCCTCCCTGGTAGCCTAGGGGTTAAGCCTCAGTTCTACTACCACAATGGCCTGAGTTTGATCCCTGGCCAGGGACCTAATCCACATAGCACAGCAGACCTCTCCTGTTTCTCCTGCTGCTCCTCTAAGCAGTCGATCTGCCTGTTCTGCTCCCCACTCCATCTCTGGTGCATCTTTTCACTCCCCTCTTCCCACCCCCCTGGACTGTACCCTAGTTCTTCTACACAAAATAAATAAAATAAATATCTTACAATAAAGGAATAATTCTTTTTTAAAAAGTTGG